ACTCCCTTCTACCAACCTTGCTACACATCCACTTCAAAACCAGGCCTTGGTTAAATCACATGTTGCAACATGGACCTCCAAGGTCCATGTCTACCAAAGCCAGGAGGACCAGCAGGGACACACAGTGATGCAACTAGAGAATCCTCAAGGCCATCTACCAGAGAAACGTTGCACTATCTCCTCTGGGGGCTGCAAACTCACACAGCCAGACAGGCCAGGCACAAGGAGGATGCAGCTGGGTGGGCCCTGTGGAAGGTGGGGGCTGTGAGGAGGTGGAGAAGCAGCACGTGCCCAACCCAAAGGGACAGCAGCAGCAGTGGCTGGATGCATCACCAGGCATGTGCCATCCAGATCCTCTGATTTTTAAAGAGAAGCCAGAAATCCGAAATGTTGTGTGATGTTTCCCAATTTTAAAAAATTCTATACATCATTCTCTTGGTGTTTACCCAAAGGAGTTGAAAACTTACATTCACACAAAATCTGCACACAGATGTTTATAGCAGCTTTATTCACACTTGTCCAAACTTAGGAGTAACCATGATGTCCTTCAGTAGGTGGCACATCCAGACCACGGAGTATCATTCGGCACTAAAAAGACATGAGCTATCAAGCCCTGCAAAGACACTAAAGACCTTAAATGCATATTACTAAATGAGAGAAGCCAATCTGAAAAGGCTACAGATTATATGATTTCAACCATATGGGATTCTGGAAAAGGAAAAAACTATGAAGATGATAAAAATATCAGTGGTTGCCAGGGGTTGGGGGAGGAAGGGATGAATAGGTGGTACACGGAGGATTTTTAGGGCAGTGACTACTCTGTATCATATTACAGTGGTGGATACATGTGATTATACATCTGTCCAAGCCCATAGAACATGCAACACCAGGCATGAATGCTAATGTAAACTATGAACTTTGGGAGATAATGGTGAGTCATTGTAGGTTTACCAATTGTAATAAATGTACCATCTGGTGCAAGTTTTTGATAGTGGGGCAGGTGGAATACCAGAAATCTCTGTACCTTCTGCTCAATTTTGTTGTGAACCTAAAACTGGTCTAAAAAATAAAGTTTATTTTTTTAGAAAATAAGTGAATAAAAACCTCTATACATGCCAGTGACATAGCTCGGGTGGGAGGAGTGGAGTGGTCCATCTCCCAGGTCAGGCGATGAGTCTTTGGAGAAGTTAACAACAGCGATAAAACTGTGCAGAAGCTGCCTGCTATTTATTCTCACCACACACTGGCAACTCTAAACAGCATCCCTCCAACCCCACTGCCAGGACTCTCTTGCTGCAGACCCAACAAAACACGTCTGCAGACCCCCCCATTTGCTGCCCCTAAGCTGAGACTCAGTGACTAAGGAACTTAAGACATTCCTAAGAACAAGAGGCTTACAGTTGTGATTCCCCTGAAGCTACTCAGGGGTGCCTGGGCAGGCCCGGGGCCCCAGGACAAGGTGTAAGAGCAGTTCCCGGAACAATGCAGACCTGGGCTTCCCCTGAGACTGGGGACAAGGCTGGGCCCATGGGGCGTCTACAGATCTGACCCAGGGCTGGGAAGGCTGTCTCAGGGGCCCAGGTGACTCCCCACACTGGGCTCCTCTGCTGTCCTGTGAAGCACACCGCCCCGGGCACCCTGCACAGGCACACCTCACCCTACACAGAGCGGACGGCACCTTCTTTAACGTCCCCTCAACATCACATTCGAAAGCGTCTCTCTCGCCATCTCCCTCACCCTATCCCTTCTGAGTGGTCACCATGCTCACCACAGAAAGACCCCAGGCTTCTGTCAACGCTTACCCAGCCTATGTCCCCTCTTATGGGTGTTTGATATGTCCCTGGGGCAGTGGCCATCCCCAACTTTCATATTCCACCGGGGACTTTTAGGGACATACCAAATTGATAACCTTCAAGGCCACTGAACTGGGATTCAAGAAGCCGCACTCTCACCACCGAGATGTGTGTCCACGGCCACATCACCTGCCCTCTCTAAGCTCCCTCGTCCACAAATGTAAAAGAACAGGAGGGTTGGAAGCTCTCTGAGGCCCCCTCTAAATCTGACATGCTGTGCTTCTCTGGGAAGATCTGCTGCCTGCCCTCAAGTCGGGGACACCAGGCTAGTGCACAGCCACGAGGAGAGATGACACAGAGCAGAATAGAAATGGCATTAACTGTGTCTCTCAGGCTGTCCCCAGGGCTTCCCCACGGACAAGGAGGATCCAGAGCTGGAGAGACCAGAGGAGGCTTCTGGGCAGAGAGCGGGCTGCAGAGGGGACAGGTGCCGAAGGTCACGGGCAAAGGCATGTGCTGGCACCGGAGGAGCCCCGAGGAGAGTACCAACAGCCCTCCCCACGTGAGCCGCCCCACGTGGACTGGCTCATCTTGCCCCCATCAGTGGGCCCCGCCCCACCCCTAAGTAACGCAAACCCACTGCTTGAAAGAAAGCAAACAGCTGCAGAGCAAGGAGCAAGCGCTTCCCACCCATTCCCAGCCAAGGTGAACGGGTGCAAGTTTGTTGACAGAGAGAAAAGTAATCAATTTTTCATGACCCAGTGAAGGCAACAGAATGTCTCAGGATGTCAACAGTTTCCAGGCAACAAAGACAAAACCAAATACACAGCCTCACCTGAAAGATGTTTCCTTTACTAGCATCAGCTTGGATGGGGGGAGGGGGGGCGCGGGGTGGAGGCAGGTGAAACCACTTGGCAGCGGCAACATCTGAGTCAGACACTGGGGTTTGTGGTTATCTGCAATGACCCCATTAGCACATCTCATCAGACTGTGACTCAAGGCAGAGCCTGCCTTTTAGGAGAATTCAGGCACAAGAAGATGTCAGAGCAAGACTGGAGACATTGCCTGGCGTGGCTTATTCATTAGATGATTCAACATTTGAGAGCACCCTAAGGATCTGGGCTCAGGCCTGAGGCCCCAGTCTAGCTAGGAAGATGGGCAGGTAACTTCTCCTCACCTTAAGGATGAGAAAGCTGAGCACCAGAGAGAGGAAGTGACTGTCCCAAGATCCCATGGCCACGTAGGTGCCCAGCTGTCGTTGAGCCCACAGCCCAAGGCACTTCGGAACTGTGCCACAGTCCCCAGATGCCACAGGACAATCCATGTGGAAGGGGCCTCTCGAAATGGATGGCACAGACAGAGTCTTGTCCAGAATTAACGCACGGAGCTTTCTAGAGACCTTTAGCAAAAGTGTTCAGATACTAAATCTAAAAGCTAAAAGGAGCTCATTAGACTCTCCTACGGTGCATAATCATTGTTATTTTTAACTCTCAAGGTGATTCTAACCAAAACAGAAAGAATGGCCCTTTCCAGGGCTCTTTCCCCAGCACAATGTCAGGCTGGGAGCTCCTAGGATGTTTCCTTGTGTTTGCATTAGCGTTTCTCAGTGAATGTCAATGGAGACTGGAGAATAAGTCAACATAGGTCCTCACAATAAATGCCAAGGCTTGTTAGCAGAGTAAACCGTGTGCTTAGCCTGTCTTAAAAGAATCTTTGCTGAGTAAACACAAGAAAGGCTTTACTTGAGAGTAAACACAGCAAGGAGCCAAGGCGCCCCACCGGGCTGGAAGGTGACTCGCTGGGCTGGCGCAGGCCACAGAGTCCATCTTCGCAGGGGCCCTGGGAGCGGAGTGGGATTGGCCATGTGTGAGCCATTGTGTCCTCCAAAGCCCTCGTGCAAGGCGAGGAAGCCAGGGTCCAGAGAGGGCTTGGGGCTTGTCTAAGGTCACACAGCTAGCTGAAGCCGAACCAGGCCTCTTTTACCCAACAGCCTCTGCCCCCATTAAGAGCCATTTCTCTTAGTGAGGAGGCAAATCTCAGACTCTGAAAAGACCCGCAGCAAGCAGGACCTGGGAATCGATCTCATGTGCTCTGCGGTGTCAAGAAACTGATCTCTTAACCTTCCCAGGACAATTTTTATATTTAAAGAAGACTACAAGGAAATGAAGCCCTAGCGATGGCGTGTCTGAAATGACAGCAGCAGGAAAATATTTTTGGTCCAAAGACAGCTACCAGCTTTCTATCTCTAAATCTTCACACTGACTCAATATTGTCCTTGGAGATAGTGGATAAGGAAACAAGCCTTAATAGCTTCTCATCTTTTAACCACACCTCACAACTTCCTGATGGCCTTGTTTACCTGATTTTCCCATTTTCCCATGTAAAGAAACATTATGTTCCACAGACATGCCTTTAGCAAAAAAAAAAAAAAAAAACATTATGACCTGAAATCTTTGACCCATAAACTTGTTAGTCTCAAAACCCAAGTACAACCACTAAGCTAAAGTCATCTCAAATAACTTTTTGCCACAAAAGACCCTTCAAATATTCCACTTTTCATTTAATTTATGGATTCCTTTCCTTTTAATCAAAAGGGTTTAAGGGTAAAAGTACAAATATGCAGTAAAGTCAATAAAAGAGCCACAGGAATTTTTTTAAAAAATCAGTACCAAGCAAAGGAGGAAGCAAATACATTATCCATTAAGTACAATTAATTTAATCACTCAGCTTGGGAATCTAGCCTGGCGCTGAAATTCTCAGCAGCTCAGGCAGAGAAGACAGCATAAGTCACAGAGCCCTTCTTATTATACAAGCCGATGGCTACCAATTTAGAGGACACAAACTTTCTCCTGGTCCTAAATTTTACAAAAAGTTTTCACATGAGACCTTATTTAGGGGACAATAACAACACCCCAGCCTCCACAAGCTTTATGGTAAATGCAGAAGTGGTTTTCATGTGGCCATTTCATCCAACAACCTTGGAGAAAAGCCAAGGGTGCGCCAGATTGCACAGTGGCTCAGTGACATCTATCTTTGTTTTCAGACAAGAAATGAACTTGAGTGTATTAAGAGGTGAAGTCAAGTGTACTAAGTAAATTACAAGGGAGGCAAGACCATATTAAAGTGCACTTGGTTTCCTCTTGGCTGGGTCACAAGTGTGCACACAAACATGCTTGTCCTTACTAAGGTAGGGACTGACTCACTTACCCCTTGGGGAAGCAGCAGGACTGCCCTGACTGCAGAACTCACGTGGCAGCCCTGAAGCACTCCAGTTTGAAGAGGCCAATCCAAGTAGCCATTCCCACCATTGGCCACTGCAGGGCAGCACTGAGCCAGCATCTGGAAGACAAAATTCTGTAAGCAAAGCCCATCTCCCACGATGCGATCCTACCAACCTACTAATTCTGTTAATTCTTAAAATCCAATATTTGACCTTACCCATAAATATTTAAAGCATATAAAAATAAAACAGCCCCGCCAATTGTAGGAATTATTTCTCTGATTTCCTTTTTAAATTTTTAACCATCAATTCATCACATGAGATAGCAAAGAAACACTAACATTTTGAACAGGAACTGTGCGAAGGGTTTTACATACGCCATCTCATTTAATTCTATAAGAACTCTATGAGGTAGCTGTCATCATTACCGCCATCACGCATATGATGAAACTAAGCTACAGAAAAGTTGAACAACTCACCTAAAGTCACACAGCCCTATTTAGTGGCAGTGGGATTTGAGTCAACCCAAGTAGTTTGACATCAGAGCATTTAACCCTGTGTCCTAAAAGACCTATGGGATCTCATAGCTGGAAGGGGCATCTAGTTCACACTCCCTCCCAAAGCAAACATTGTCTTCCCTGCAAAGTTGTCCTTATTTATTAGCCTAACGCCCAGCAAAGTTGTCCTTATTTATTTCGAGCTAAAACTGTCTCAAAACTGATCAGAATTCTTCCCTCTAGAACCACTTACAAGTTGAGTCCTTCTCTACGAACCCTCTCCAATTTTTTAAAAATTAAAACTAGTGTTTTTAATTTGTAAATGTAATGCATGTTTATGGTTTTTAAAAATTCAAGCAATAAGGAAAGGATAAATTGGAAAGTAAAACTCTTTCTCCCATCCTGTCTGACCCCTGTCCTCAGAGGTAATCACTGTTAATTAGTTTTGAACCCTCCCAGAAATTTTGTTATGCTATAAACATGCATATGAATTTATTTTTTGATACTCAAATAGGGTCATCTTGTGCATACTGGTTGCAACTTGTTTTTTTCACTTAACCAGGTGTCCTGACTATCTTTCCCGAGCAGCAATCCTATAAATAGATACAGGAAAACATCAAGATTTATTCAACCTGCCTCCTGTCATGCACTTTTGTTTCTACTGCAATCAACGCTTCAGTGGACTTGTACATACATTTATAGGATAGATTCCTACAACCAAAATTCCTGTGTCAAAGGTAAGGGCACTTTTAATTTTGAGGAAGAGGACCAAATTACCCTCCTTAAAAAGGTATAGTAGTTCAGGAACGGGCTGAAGAAAAAAATAAAAAATAAGTTATAGTAATTTACACTCCAGACAACAGCCCATTTTCCCAGTTTTGCCAACATGGCCTATTATCAAACTGTTAATTCTTCCTTAAACATTTGAAGATAGTTATTCATTTGTTCTTTAACATTCATTCACATATTCTTTCAAACAACAGTTATTATGCATCTTCTACTCCTCAGGCACTGCGTGGGGAGCTGGGTTTGCTCCAGCCATGGCCAATCAGAAAAGCACGTGAAGGTGCGGGTTCCCGGCTGCCTTTCCAGACGTCCTGACTCAGTGGGCCCTGGAGGAACGCAGGAAGCTGTTTAGTTGTCGTTTCACTTGGGGTTGTTGTTGTTTGTAACAGTAACAGTTTCTCAGGTGATTTAGCTATATAAGGAGCCCAATTTGTAGAGCAAATATTCCTGCCTTTTTATTTTTTATTCTTTTTATTTTTGTTTTATTTATTGAGACGGGGTCTCGCTCTTGCTCAGGCTGGTCTGGAACTCCTGACCTGGAGCGCTCCTCCCGCCCCGGCCTCGCAGAGTGCTAGGATTACAGGCGTGAGCTGCGTCTTTACCTGGGTAAAAGCCCCTTCTGGAAAGGACGCAGGGCGCGGCCAGCCCGGTTCCCCAGTGAGGGACCCGGGAACTCGCGCACGTGGCCTCACCCCGCGGCGCCTCACGCGGAGGCCCGCGCTCCCCGCCCTCAGGACACGGCCCGCGGTCGCTGCTGCCGATTTACACATGCGCCCCACTCCAGTCCTGCCGGCTGGTGGAAGTGCGGCACCTCCTGAGAGAGTGTCACAGCAGGCTAGGGACCTCAGCACACCGACCCGCGCCCCACTCTAAGCTGCCAACGCGGGACGCGGGAGCACAGCCCGGCCAAAGCCGGCGGCCACGCGCGCCCCCAGCGGCGAAGAGGCCCAGGCGCGACGGGGAAAGCTCGGCCTCCCTCGGCCGCACTCGGCTCCTAGCCCCGCCCCTCGTCCCGCCTCTTCCCCCCGGCGCGGACGTTGATTGGCCCGCAGTGAGGTGTTAAAACCCAAGGGGCGACGCGCGACCTTTCAGCGCCGGCGCTGGCTGTGTTGTTCCGGGCGCTGAGGTAAGACCGACTGTGGGCGAGAACGCTTTATCTGGTCGCCGACGCTCATCCTAGGCGATGTGGACCTGAGCGCGGGACCCCGTGTCCAGAAGGAAGTTCGCGGGCTCCTGGGTGCTACGCCTTTGCTTCTGCCTGGGTGCGCGCCTTAGTACCCCGCTCACCCCCGAAAGCCTGGCTCGGGCGTCGCCAGGCCTCCACGTCCCCAACGTCCGGTGGGCGCTGGGCTTGTAAGGCCTCGCGTGACGTTCGCAGAGCCGGCGGGCAAGGCCAGGCCGGGCACCCGCGTCTCCGCCTTATCGGGGAAGGGGTTCCCACCGCAGGGCTAAATGCCGACGCCTGCACCCGGCAGCCTGGACGGTGCGTACTAACGGTGAAATTGAATGAATGAATGAGGCTTGTGGTGCGTGGCAGGCCTAGGTTTTGCTCCTGGAGGGCACGCTAAAATGGAAAGAACATTTGCTAGTCTAGACACGTGGGTTCCAGTCCTGGCACTGTTCATCACTGCTGCTGAGCAAGTTTCTCCTCCTGTCTGTGCTCTGGTTTCTGCACGTGTAAAAGGAGAGAGCTGCCTATGGTAAGTACATAGTGAAGGCCAACAACGAGCCAGGCATTGCAAAAAGTACTAGGGGTACAGGTGAGCAAAATGGACAGCCCTGATCCCCGGAGCATGCGGGGATCAACAGTCACAGGGGTGTCTTGACACACATACTTTTTGAGAAGGTATAGTGCGGGAATTTACAGCAGGAACTTAGTGTAGCCTGGAATGGACTTCCTGAGGTCTGAAGGAGTAGAATTAACTGAGGGTAGGTAGTCGGCAACCCAGAGAGAGGGAAGATAGCAAGTGCAAAGTTTGGAGGACAAAAGACGCACATTTCTTACTTTAATTGGACTCAAAAGTATGCAAATCAGAGGTGTGGAAGCTTCGACAAACTAAATTGAGTAGAGCTTGGAGGAGTCTTTGAAAGTCGGTAAGTATTCAAGCAGTGCTATGAAAATATGTGAAGGCCCTTGACCCTGTGTTTTCATGGAAGTGTCCAGAAGATTGTTGATCTGACCTGAGCGGTCCAGGTTCCACGATGCCCATCTGACTTGGAGAGACATCTTGCTCTATTTCAGAACTAAAAAACTCTATTTAAAGCAGCTCATGTTTATGTCAAGCTGAATTATCTGGGCTTGCTCATAAAGACAAGGAAATGAGAAAGAAGTGGCTTGTGAAGTTAACAGAGAAAAAATTCAAAGGCTGGTCACTGTATCCTAGAAAAGCATGTGTGCAGGGGACACCATGTCACAGAAGAAATGCTGGATTGAGTAAACTGAGGTGCCAGGCCCAACTTCACCCTGCAGTAGCTCTGTGAACTTGGCAAAGTACTCAACCTCTCTAAGCAATAGTTTCTTAATATATTAATAAAAACAGGGCTAATTAAGTTCTCTTGGTAGGGTAAGGCTCAGAATGGGAGAAAACAAAAAAGTTATTTCTAAACTATAAAGTACCCAACCAACCAAAAGTCACCTGGCTGCTCATCCTGTTCCCTCAGAATTTTACTGTATATGCCCATTCATATTAGGGAGAAGAAAGGATTTGACACATTTTATTTCAATCTGTAGCAATATACCAAGTTGTTTTGCTGCATAATTAATTTGAATTCTTTCATTTTAATTCAAGAGTTTACCTTTTCCAAAATGTAGTTTTAGAATTTCACATGTGGTTCTCTTTTTACTATTTTCAGTTGAGAAGAAAGCAGCAAAAAAAGAATAAGACAGTTGACAGAATGTTTGGATTCTTTTACTAATCCCATTGTGCAACAGTCAATGACAATGTAGTTTTTGGTGGTGGTGTTCTTAGATGGTTTGTCCGTGAACATGTCTATTCCTACAGTTCTCTAGAAAATGAGAGGACTTACCCCTAATCCTGGCTTCCTGCTGATACAGAATTTTTAAAGAGGTGAGCCAGCCAACTATGGACCAGGGAACCTCTTGTGGCCACGAGAGATGTGAACACAATTCTGAGAGCAGTGAAACTATTTAAGCAAAGTAACACGTATGCCTGGTAAACAATCAGTAGTGTGAGATATTATGAGAAACCAAACCTGCCTGATTGGGGAGGGTGGGGAGTGGGTTTGAGAAGCACAAAGTTTGGGCCTGCTGGACCTGGGGACCCAGGAATGCCAGCTGTTTTCCTTGTATCCTAGGCAGAAGGGAAATAACAAGCATTGATGGGCATGTTCACTTACCTGTTACCTCTTTCATTCCCCAACCTGAAGTACATATTCCCATTTTGCAAAAAGGAAATGGAAGCTCAGAACTAGAAAGTAGGTGGAACTGGGAGGACTTTATGTAATATCAATACAAAGTTAGTATTTCTATGTGTGTGTGAATCTCCTAATTTTTCAGATTGTTCTGTGGAATGGTTTTTAGCTATATTAAAGTTTCTTTTGAAAAGCTGGGCCACCCATTTAGACTATGTTAACATTTGAGTCCAGCTACAGTGAACATCTTAGTTGTGACTGTATTGTTTGGGTAACTGAATTTGGTATTTATGATATCCTTAGCTCACCACTGAATTTCCTCTTCTAGATGCTGCCCTTTCCCTTGTTGCTCTTTAACCCATTCAAAATATGTCTCCTCAGCTAAGTGTTAGTATTCCCTCCTGACACTTGAAAGTCCTATTTTATATTCTCTCCAGAACGCTGTGAGGTAGGTATAGTACTGTCATTAGATAAGAAAACTGATGCAAATAACAGAAGGGATCAGGAACATGGGACAAGGCTGTTGAGAATAGGGTGGGCCAGAGTAAGGTTTTAATCTGGTCCACGTTCCCATATGTGCCACGGAGCCTTATCATCACAGGTTCACTGTGAAGAATGACATGACACACCTGAGATTTGCAAAGTGCTGGTGTTAGCTGTTAATGGATGAGGCAGGGAAGGAGGGAAAGCAGGCACTTAACAGGTGGGTCTCAGTCATTTTTGAGTGTCACATTGGTGCTCAGGAAAGTTTTGGATTTTGGAGGATTTTAGATTAGGGATACTCAACCTATATATGAAAACCACCAAGATTTGACAGTTAACTCAAAGGTCCTGAACTTTTATCTTCCCTTGCCTTTTTATACCCTTTTACCAGATTTGTATGCCTCATGTGTTTTTTCAAATTTTATGAAAGGGGAACTTAGTATAATTTACTGTTTCTACTTTCAAATACATTCTAACTTTACATTAGTGAGAATGTCTCTACATCTGTAGCTGTGGTTTGTTTCTGATTACTTAAGATATTTAGTTATTTTCTGGTTGATGGACCTTTGAGATTTTTGTTATTTTAACAGTGCTTTGAACATTCCCAGAGATATATCCTGATGTCCATGTTTTAATAGTTTCTCTTGGACACCTCAAAGTTAAACTGCCATTTACCTAGGTGGTTGTAGTAAGTTACATACGTGGTCTCACACACTGGAGTGAGGACAGTCAGGGCTAGAAGTCATGCTTTCTTATCACTGAATCTCATGTCTTCCATCTTTTTTTTTCTTCCATGAATTCCTGGCCTCAAGTGATCCTCCTGCCTCCCAAAGCCCTGGGATTATAGGCATGAGCATGTCTAAGTGAATTTCCATTTCATGCTATGCTATTGTTTAATTGGCCAAAAAAGAAAAAAAAGGGCTACATTTGTTACTTGTATTCTGGCTCTTTACCATTGTGCGTAACTGGGGATCTAGAGTTTATTTTTCCCACTCCTTCAGTAACGCTATAAGATTCCAAATGTTTGCTGAGGGACACTACGTACTAGGTATTATTAAATTTACACCTAGGGACACAGCAGGCCAATATTCTACCTCAGAGGGCACAGCACAATGCGTAAGTTCTTAGCCAGGGTTGTACAAGGTTATTAACCAAGAGTTTTTCCAAAGCTGAGGCCTGTTTTATACCTATACCTGTGCCCCCAGTGTAGGAGACAAACTTTATAATCGTAAAGTTACACAGGTAATCTGGGACAAGGCATCTGCTTTGATCCTTTTTCCTCCCACCCCAGTGCAGTTTTCAATGCTGTACTGTTATGTGCATTCTTACTAGTTTAAGACTTCCCGCCTGGCCATAGTGCCAGGGAGAAAACCCAGCTTCCTCTCATACACGACAGAATAGGTTGAAAGCCAACATTACAGAAGTGAGACCATCTCACAATGTACTTCCTTGCAGAGTAAATTCCCAAATTATGGGCAAGACCAACAGCAGCAAAGAGTTCTACATTTTATTGAACATGTTACAAAAGAGATTTAGTCAAAAAGACCAAAGCCCATGTCATCATCAGACTCCTCAGATTCTTCTTTCTTTGCTTCCACTTTCTTTTCCTCAGCTTTAAAACAAAACAAAAAAAAAAGTCAATCAACTCTTCAGTATTTTAAGCTCTGGAAGAGCTCTGTAGGCCCTTCACCTTGTATGGTTAAAAATATCCACAAGACTTCCCTCAACATCAAACCGTGCAGCAGGTTTTAGAATTCCCATACATCACCTACTTTGTGGCAAATTAAGAGAAATACTGCCTATAACACTGTATTTTTGATATCCACACCCTTTCCCTCCAATACAAAAAACTCCTACCTGGGGCAGCCGCAGTGGAGGGGGCAGGACCTCCTGCTGGTGCAGCACCAGCTGCTGGAGCAGGTCCACCAGCCCCTACATTGCAGATGAGGCTCCCGATGTTGACATTGGCCAGGGCCTGCAACATATGTGCACGCATAGGTTACTTCTATCCTTCTGTGATAGCATTCACCAA